ACTTACACAAACACACAAACACACACACAAACACACACACACATCTTCCACTTGCCAAGGCTGCATTTAAATTGCATTTGATACAAAAAAATAAAAACAGTAATATTGTGAAATATATAATTAAAATTTAAAATAACTGTTTTCTACTGTAATGTACTTTAAAATGTAATTTGTTTATCTTAATTTTACATTGTTTGATTTAATTAATTTAAGCAAATGTTTTTTTGGTGTTGGTGTTTTTTTATTTTAAACTATGTATTTATCTTAGTTTTATATGTTTATGATTGAATTCATTCATTTTAGTAAGTATTTTAAGATCATTTTTGTTTTAAAGATTATTTATTTCAATTTTGCATTTTATGATTAAATTTTTTATTTGTTTTATTTTAAAATTATTAAAATTTTACATCTTCATGAATTAATTACTTTTAGTGATTTTTATTGTTTTTTTTTAATTATTTTAATTTACATTTTATTATTTAATTAATTATTTGATTGTTTTTATTTAAAAATGGTTTATTTTAGTCTTAATAATCCAAAAGGAACTCCAATGGAAAAATCCTATTGGGTTTTTGTCGAGGAAAAGTTTGTCTACATCATCACTGCAGGATTTGACACATTACCTACAGTAACCTAAAACAATAACTGGTTAATATTAACCAATACGACACTGGTTACAGTTAATATTTGTGAGACTGGTTAACCAAAAGCCTGCACGGCCTCAGTGACGTCAGCTGAGAAGGGAAGTCATATCAGATGTTTGAGAGAGTTTATAATGGAGGACCATCACTGATGATGATAATGATAATGGACAAACATGACTGATGATCACACACCTGTAGTGTGCAGGACACTCGGAGCCGTCGGCTTCCTGTGGCTCCTCCGGAGGCATAATAAACACTGTATGTTCACCGCTGTGACACTCGTCACGGTCGATCAGACGCACGTCCTCCGGCTTCTCCACGTCCACCTGACACACACACACACACACACAGAGCGACACACACACACACAGAGAGAGAGACACACACACAGAGACACACACACGCACACAAACACACAGAGACACACACAGAGCGACACACACACACACACACACACAGACACAGACACAGAGCGAGACAAAAACACACACAGAGACAGAGACACACACACACAGAGAGACACACACACACACACAGAAAAAAAACACACACACACACACACACACAGACAAACACAAACACACAGACACACACACACACACACACACACAGAGACACTCAGAGACACACAGACAAACACAAACACACACACACACACACACACACACACAGACACACACACACAGAGACACACACACAGACACACACACACACACACAGAGACACACACACACACACACACACAGAAATGTTAATTCATGCGTTTATCACCTCAAGGTTAGATTATTGTAATGCTTTATTGGGTGGTTGTTCTGCACGCTTAATAAACAAACTCCAGCTGATCCAAAATGCAGCAGCTAGAGTTCTTACTAGAACCAGGAAGTATGAACATATTAGCCCGGTTCTGTCAACACTGCACTGGCTCCCTATTAAACATCCTATAGATTTTAAAATCTTGCTTATTACTTATAAAGCCCTGAATGGTTTAGCACCTCAGTATTTGAACGAGCTCTTATTGCATTATAGTCCTCCACGTCCGCTGCGTTCTCAAAACTCTGGCCATTTGATAAAACCTAGAATATCAAAATCAACTGCGGGCGGCAGATCCTTTTCCTATTTAGCTCCCAAACTCTGGAATAACCTACCTAACACTGTTCGGGAGGCAGACACACTCTGTCAGTTTAAATCTAGATTAAAGACCCATCTCTTTAACCTGGCTTAAACATAACACACTAACATATTTCTAATATTCAAATCCGTTACAGGATTTTTAGGCTGCATTAATTAGGACAACCGGAACCGGGAACATGTACTTGCTTTCATGTTGTCATGTCTTGTGTGAACACGCGGCTTATGAGTATTCTTATTAGCTGCGTGTTCGTGTCTTGTTTAGTTCAAGCACATGGCTTGTGGTTGTTTTGCTGGCTATGTGCTTGTGTTTCGTGTGTGCCATGTGCTCTCAAGTCTATTGTCTTGACCCTGCCAAACTTGTTTCCTGATTATTGGTTCATTTGCCCCACCTGTGTTTCCCTCATTACCCTCCTCATTTGCTCCCTACTTATTCTCCTTGTGTTTGCAGTCCTGGGCCAGTTCGTCATCTCATGTATCCTGTTGTGTCCTGTTTAGCCTTGCCAAGCCTGGTTGCCAGTCTGTTTTCCCCTACGGAGTAGTTTTGGTTTGGTTTGTTTTATTTTTGCCAATAAAAGCCCATTCTCCTGCATCAGTGAGTCCTCGCCTCCTCCCTTCATCCCCTACCCTGACAGTTACATCGATAGAAGAATGTCATCTACGCTAATATTAGTCTGTGTCTCTCTTATTCCGAGGTCACCGTAGCCACCAGATCCAGTCTGTATCCAGATCAGATGGTCACTGCAGTCACCCGGATCCAGTACGTATCCAGCCCAGATGGTGGATCAGCACCTAGAGAGGACCTCTACAGCCCTGAAAGACAGCGGAGACCAGGACAACTAGATGAGCCCCAGATACAGATCCCCTGTAAAGACCTTGTCTCAGACGGCCACCGGGACAAGACCACAGGAACCAGATGAGTCCTCTGCACAATCTGACTTTGCTGCAGCCTGGAATTGAACTTCTGGTTTCGTCTGGTCAGAGGAGAACTGGCCCCCGACTGAGCCTGGTTTCTCCCAAGGTTTTTTCTCCATTCTGTCACCGATGGGAGTTTTGGTTCCTCTGGCTTGCTTAGTTGTGGACACTTCATTTCCAGCGATATCGTTGACTTGATTGCACAGATGCTATTTAAACTGAACTGAGCTGGATGATGACATCACTGAATTCAATGATGAACTGTCTTTAGCTGAAAAATTAGTGTTTACTCTCATCCTTCTGCATTATTGACACACTATTTTCCTATTTAATACTGTAAAGCTGCTTTGACACAATCTGTATTGTTAAAAGCGCTATATAAATAAAGGTGACTTGACAGACACACACAGGTGATACAGGAGCGATCTGATTGGCCGCTGCGCTTAGTTGTGGACACTTCATTTCCAGCGATATCGTTGACTTGATTGCACAGATGCTATTTAAACTGAACTGAGCTGGATGATGACATCACTGAATTCAATGATGAACTGTCTTTAGCTGAAAAATTAGTGTTTACTCTCATCCTTCTGCATTATTGACACACTATTTTCCTATTTAATACTGTAAAGCTGCTTTGACACAATCTGTATTGTTAAAAGCGCTATATAAATAAAGGTGACTTGACACAGACACACACAGGTGATACAGGAGCGATCTGATTGGCCGCTGTGGTCAGGTGACTGCAGGTGAGCGTCTGACCTTCTGCACGCACTCGTCGAAGAACTCGAGGCAGCCGTGGCGGTCGCTGACGAACGAACACTCCTCGATGAACTGCGTGAACATCTGCGTCTTCGTGAGCTGCGTGTAAAACTTCTGCTGCGTTCGATCGCGAGACTTCAGGAACCCTGAGAAACACCCGGAGAAAACCATCAACCGTCATCTACTGAATCAAACCAATGTTTCTTACTAATTATAGGCTGCTGGTTCCAGAAATAGTGTCTGTTTTGCTCTTTCACGTCACACTTTCTCACTAAATATGATGGCATTCTGTAGCATTTTAGTTTTTGAGAATCATTGGTGTGTGAATTAATCTTGTATTCTCTCCTAATCAGCAGAAAAACAGCAGAATCACGTCTGAATCTGAGCCAACCATCAGATCAATTCTCAGCCCGGTTTCACATGCATGACACTATTTAATATCTAATCCTGATTTCAAGGACAGAATTATGATCCAGAGACAGAAGAAAACACAAACATGAGCAGATGTTTCTGCCGTTACTGCAGCCAAACAGACACAGAAAAGCTTTTATTTATGAACTTGTGTTTATGTATTAAATGACGTATTTTAACATTTTTCCACTCCTTTGCAGAAGCTAAATGATTCATTTTGAATGCTTTTTGTCATTAAATGCAAAACTTCAGACATTTGACAGCTTTTGTTATCTTTGTAAGTGCATTAGCTGATGTAATTTGAATAATTTAATAATGTATATTAATGCATAATGTAATTTATCATTTGAAAAATTCTTATTTTAAGAAAAAACAGTAGTCATGATCAACTTATAAACAACATTCAGTTCCTGAACCTTCTGGAAATACAATATTAATTGCCTTTTGAGTGATAGTTTTCATTATTTTGAATTAGTTTTTATATTTATATATTTTTATTTATTTCTAATTTTAGTTAAAGTTTTAATAATTGTATTGTTCAGTCCCTTATATTAGTTTTTTTTATGTCTATATAGTTTTTATTCTATTTTAAATTTTAGTTTTAGCTATTTAGTTGTTATGGAGGCTGAATAAACTGAATTTAAAAAAATTGCGACTTTATCTTGCAATTCTGGATTTTTTTTCTCACAATTTTGCATTTTTTCTCGCATTTTGAGATATAAACTCGCAACTGCTAGTTTTAAAATCCAATTCTGAGAGGAAAAAATATTATTTTCTTACAATTTTTTTTATTATTGCATGATATAAATTTGCAATTCTGAGAAATAAAGTTGCAACTGTAAGAAAATACTAGTCTTTCTTTCCCTCAGAATTGGACTTTATAACTCGCAATTCAGAGAAAAAGTCACAATTCACTTTTTTTCATTAGTTTATTCAGTGTTGGAAACAGACTTCCATAACTTTGTTAGTTCGTGAAGTTAAACTAAATAAAAATGTTGCCATGGCAACCAGCTGAAATAAAACGGGTTTCACTGCTACTTCTGAAGGGTGTTTGTGTCCTGCAGGACAGAGGCTTCTTATCTTCAGACCTGCAGACAAAAATAATGTATTAATACAGTGATAAGATATATAATCATACATACAAATATTATCAAAAATAATGTAAAAATTGTGAAATATTATTGCAATGTAAAACAGCTGTTTTCTCTGTGAATATGTGTTAAACTGTGCTGTATTTCTGTGATGCGCAGCTGTATTTTCAGCATCATTACTCCAGTCTTCAGTGTCACATGATCTTCAGAAATCAGTATAATATGCTGATTATTAGAAACATTTCTGATCATTATCAGTGTTGAAAATACTGTGATGCACTTTATTTTTCAGGATTCACAGATGAATAGAAAGTTCAAAAGAACAGCGTGTATTTAAAATAGAAATCTTTTGTTGCATTATACAGTGTTTTCAGCTACTCGCACACATTTTCAAAACTTTACAGAGAAATCCAAGAACTGCACACAAAATGCAAAAAGCCTCGCATCTCGTGCAAAACGAAGCGCTGCATTCAAAACATCACAAGCACATCTCAAAAGCAAACATTTGCCATAATATTAATTCCCGTGAGATTTGTGTGTGTTACATCGATAATCGTGTGTTGTGTTTAACAAAAAGTGTTTTCTGAAATTGAAAACCGAGTCAAAGGCTGAGATCAGTGTCTGGTTTTGTAGGTTTGGTGTGTGCTTCTGCTGTTTGAGTGTCAGCTTTCAGAAACTGTGTGACGAGTGAAGAGTCAGTGTGTAAGCAGATGTAAAAAGTGTAATCGTGTTCACAGGAAGACTCACTGGAAGACGGTGTTGGTGTCCAGATCCACACACACCACGTCAGTCGGCGGATCGTAAAGCTCGAAGTAGCTGGAGTGGACGCCCACGATGAAGGGCATGGGCGCGCACAACACGTCTGCCATCCGCAGCGGACACAGCGGGATATACGGGCAGTGCCAGCGCAGAGGAAACGGCATCTGAGACAGGAAACGCCCGTCACATGACCGGCACAGACAGGAAGTCACACCGACTGAGTAAAAATTATTGTCTTGTTTTCAGACAAAATTAAGTTTTTTTTTTGATATCTTGGCTGGAAACAAGACAAAAACTCGAAGAAAAGCATTTTTTGCAGTGTAATTTCATCAGTTAGTGCCCTTTCAGAAATCAAGAAAACATCAACTCGAGTGGTTTGATGTGAAAGAAACGAGGATCGCAACAGAGATCAATAAACTCAAAGTTACACTTTGATGATGTTTTCAGATCATCAGCACTTTTTACATACTTTTATGTATTTGCAGTGAAATGACTGGATTTATTTTTCTATTAGATCAGTGATTCTGAACCGGGAGCCTCAAGATGAATGCAAATCATTTAAAATAAGACAAAACAAGTTTAAAACATTTTAAATAAAAATCTAAATGTAATTTGAATAAATTCTTATTTTATTTTTTTGTTTAATTTGAATTTAGTTTTTAAACAGCTATGTTTTTAAAGAATATTTGTACGTTTTTTTTACATTTTTAAAAATGTGATTTCTAGACCTAAAATACCAAAATAAACAAAATATACAAAATTCTTGCAAGTTTCTTATTCATTTGTTTATTTTAAATAAAAATACGTATATATATATTTTTTTTCTTTCTTTTCAAAATTCTTATCTAGTAATCAAGTTTAAAACATAAAAAAATCCAAATGTAATTGGAATAAATTTATTTTATTTAATTTTGAATTTTTTTGTTTAATTTTAATTTACTTTAATTTGTTTTTTTAAGAATATTTTTAAGTGTTTTTCTTAATTTTTAAAAATGTGATTTCTAGACCTAAAATACCAAAAATACCAAAATAAACTAAATATTAAAAATTCATGGAAGTTTCTTATTAATTTGCTTATTGTAAAAAAAAAAAAAAAAATATATATATATATATATTCAAATTTTTATCTAGTAATCATGATCAAATGGATTAAAACAAATAATTTAATTAAATTTTTAATAAAACAATTAAAATGTAATTTGATCTTAATTCTTATTAATTGATTGTTAATTAATTATTAGTTTAATATTGATTTAATGTTTCATTTATTTAAAAAAAACTGATTTTTATTTCAGTTATTTTATTATATGTTAAAAATCACTGTTCAGTAATCATGATCAACTGGATGATCCACCTGGTCAAAACGAGCAAGAACAATCAGCTCTTCAAACTTCTACAATCACAAAATGAATTGCTTTGAATTATTTTATTATTGTAGAAGTGAAAAAATGTATGGAAGTTTAAGTTTACGAAAATAGAAAATGTAAAAATTAAAATATTTATATTTTACTTAAAATATATATTTTTACAAAACATGTTTTACTCTAAAACCAGAAAATTACAACCAAAAATCTGAACAAGTTGTGTTTCAAATTTGAAGTTGGTATCTTAAAAATGAGCTTTCAGTGAGATTTTGTTTGGACGCAGTACCAAGCTTTTCCACTAGATGGCCATCAAACCCCATTAGTAACCATATACGGTTTGAGTGATCTGAAACATGTTTTTCCATACTTTTCTCAATAATTATGAAGTAGACATCACATTCAGAAGTATTAAGGGTATTTGATTTCAATGCAACCTCTAAAAACACATAAAAGACATACGACGAGAACCTTAGGCCTATGTTACAGTTCACACTGCATCAAAAAAAGAGAATCTATTGTTTTTTTTCTTTATATTCAGAACACTTTTAGACCTTTTTTTCTCCTAAAATAGAATGGATGTTATCTTTTGAACACTTGACATGAATGCATCACTTTTGCAAAGTAAAGGTCAGAACTCGCTCTCTGACTCTGATGAGTACTCTTCTTGCAAATTAATAAATTACAGTTGCTCTGTAAAATATTAAAAAAATGAGTCACCAAATATGAAAACTAGAGTCTTTAAGCTTTCAAATGATATATAGTTTGTCAAGACTACTTCAGGTTCAGACTAGGATATTAATGTTTAAAAGGTAATGAAAAGTGACAGTGAACAGGGTTTTAAGAGAAAACTTGATCTGAATGATGACACTGCTGTCTGAATCAGAACTGAAGCACAGTGGAGTTCCGTCACTGATTCGGTCCTCGTCTGTGTTGTATGAGGCGATGTAGAGATGAGTGTGACTCACGGAGACGAGCGCTTCGCTGACGGACGTCAGAACATCGGGCCGCAGCGAGTGCAGCAGCAGCTTGTGTTCGGTCAGAACCGCCAGCAGCAGCGAACACGTGTTCTCCGGACCCAGATTCTGCAGCAGCTTCACAAAACTGGCCCCACTGAGAGCAGAGCATCAGCCAATCAGAACACAGAGAACAGACGCAGCAGCCAATCAGATCCTCAGCAGAAGAACTCACCTGAGCGGCAGCGGAGACGACACGGGCTGACAGAGCAGCAGATTATCATATGAAGAGAGCTGAGGACACACAAACACACAGTTAACACACTCACTCTCACACACACACACACAGTTAATACACACTCTCTCACACACACACACACAAACAAACACACAGTTAATACACACACACACACACACACACACACAGTTAATACACACTCACACACACACACACAGTTAATACACACTCACACACACACAGACAAACACACACAGACGCGTGCACACACACACACACACACACACACTCACTCACACACTCACACGCTCACACACTCACACACTCTCGCAAACACGCACACTCACTCGCACTCACTCGCACACACTCTCTCACACACTCTCTCACACACACACTCACACACACACACACACACACTCACTCACACACTCACACGCTCACACACTCACACACACACACACACACACTCACTCACACACTCACACGCTCACACACTCACACACTCTCGCAAACACGCACACTCACTCGCACTCACTCGCACACACTCTCTCACACACTCTCTCACACACACACTCTCTCACACACACACACACTCTCACACACTCTCACCCTCTCACTCACACTCTCTCACACACTCTCACTCACACTCTCTCACTCACACTCACACTCTCTCTCACTCACTCACACTCACACTCTCACACACACTCACACTCTCACACACTCTCTCACACACACACTCACACACTCTCACTCACACACTCTCACTCACACTCTCTCACTCACACTCTCTCACTCACACTCTCTCACTCACACTCTCTCACTCACACTCTCTCACTCACACTCTCTCACTCACACTCTCTCACTCACACTCTCTCTCACTCACTCACACTCACACTCTCACACACACTCACACTCTCACACACTCTCTCACACACACACTCACACACTCATTCACACACTCTCACACACACACTCTCTCACTCACACACTCTCACTCACACTCTCTCACTCACACTCTCTCACTCACACTCTCTCACACTCTCTCTCACTCACACACTCACACTCTCACTCTCACTCACACTCTCACACACACTCTCACACACACTCTCACACACACTCTCTTATATTGATTTTTCCGTTCTGCTGGTTCGTCTGGTCAGAGGAGAACTGGCCCCCCGCCTGAGCCTGGTTTCTCCCAAGGTTTTTTCTCCATTCTGTCACCGATGGAGTTTTGTTTCCTTGCCGCTGTCGCCTCTGGCTTGCTTAGTTGGGGACACTTCATTTCCAGCGTTATCGTTGACATGATTGCTCACACTTTATTTAAACTGAGCTGGATGTTGACATCACTGAATTCAATGATGAACTGTCTTTAACTGAAAAATGAGTGTTTACTATTGTCATTTTGCATTATTGACACTATTTTCCTAATTAATGCTGTTCAGTTGCTTTGTCACAATCTGTATTGTTAAAAGCGCTATATAAATAAAGGTGACTTGACTTGACTTGACTCACACACTCACTCACACACACTCTCACTCACTCTTCACACAACACACTCACTCACTCACTCACTCACTCTCTCTCACACACACACTCTCACACACACACTCTCACACACACTCTCTCACACACACTCTCTCACACACACTCACACACACTCACACACACACACACACACTCACACACACTCACACTTTTCTGAGTTCATTTCACACTGATTTCCGCTTCCAGCTCATGCTTTGATTTCCCGCCTAGCACCAGATTAACCCGTAATCAATCAATCAATCAATCCCTCGATCAGTTTGATATCAAGCGCTGGACTACTGATTGAGCTGATTTGCTCTGGATCTCTACGGTACGGTCAGAGAGGAGGAGGATGATCGAGCTTCATCACCCCCGTTACCCACGTGTCTCTAGTGCGCCTGCGGCTCGAGCTCATGCGGAGACACTCTGAGACTCATCTGAGATCAATCACCTGCACCAGGATCCGAGGACGCTGAGCGGACGGGAACGGGACGTTGTGCATGAAGCTCGAGATGTGCCTGCAGACAGATCACAGTTAACACGAGTCAGTTCATCTCTCTAAACCTCCTCAACGTGAGTATTCACTGCACACAACATCACGACTTCAATTCAAGATTATTTATTCAGCTTCCATACGATGTATACATCTCAATTTCTAAAAGTTGACCCTCATGACTGGTTTTGTGCTCCAGGGTCTCTTATAATTATGGTTATAATAATTGTTATTTTATATTGAAAAAAATATTTCAATATAATGAATTCAACAACAGGTAAACAAGTCTTGCCTTTTTCATTCAATATTCTTGCAAATGTCACATTACAGAAATGTGATGCGGGTTTCACACTGACTCTAAATCAAGAAAATATATCCTTTAAAATACAGTTCAGCCAAAAACTGCCAAGAATTCTGTCCTCATTCACTCATTCCAAACCGGTATGACTTTATTTCATCAGTGAAACACTAAAGAAGATGTTTTACAGATCACTGACAAAATAATGCAAGTGTTGTTTCAGCCACAGAATAAAAAAATAAAAAAAGTAATTGTGACTGTATCTCATAATTCTGACTTTATTCCTGCAATTATGAGAAAAAGTCAGAACTGCTGGATATAAACTCAGAACTGTGAGTAAAAATGTAAAGACTTGGAAGATAATAAGTAGAAATGACCTTTTTTATTTTATATTCTGTGGTACAAACAAATAAAAACAACCGTGAGACGCAGAATTCAGAGGGTTTATGTCTTTCAATTCTGTGTTGATATCTCACATTTCTGACTCTTTCTCAGAACTGCGAAAAAACAAAGTCACGATTAAAGATAAAAAGTTGCCATCACATTTTTTAAATTCCATTTCTGAAAATATCTTCTTTTGTGTACCAGTTTTCATTCTTAGACATTTAAAAAAAGTTGTTTCTAAACTCTAAAGATTAAATACTAAAAAAAATTAAATCTCAAAAAGTCATAGAGGTCTTTTTTTATTATTATTATTATTAATTTGCTTACAGTTCGTAAAAAAATATAAAAAAAACAATTTCAACATCCATCAATTGGATGATCAACTTAGTCAAGAAGATCAAGAACCCTGAACATAGTTCAGCTCTAGAGTCACAAAATTCATTTTTTAATTATTTTAACCTACAGACAGTCCAAGTTTTAGTCAATAAAAAACACATCTATACAGAGATGCACAGATGGTCAAAAAGATGAATTAGAAAAAGCATAATTTCATCACTGATGTCACGTACATTGTTAGAAGTTTAATGCAGTAAAAATCTAGTTCATGAAGTTATCCCAATAAATGAACAAGTCTCAGCAAATCAGGTCTGAGTGTCGTGATCAGTGCTAGGGCTGAACCATTTTGGAAAATAATCTAATTGCGATTTTTTTTACCAATATTGCGATTGCGATTTAATATGCGATTATTTTTTAAAGCTCTGTATGTTCTGTAGTATTCAACAAAGACAAGCTATAAATCATTGTATAGTATGACCAACACACGATTAGATAGATGAAACATAAATGTTCTTTTCTGTAGGCCAGGCCGATATGTTACGATGAAATTAGGTGATGCATGAAGATATGAATGACATTTTTATTTAACATCTACAATCACAGTATATTGACTGATTTGTTGAACTTCCAACCTTGTGAGCATGTACTAATTATGTTTAAATAAGCCTGGTGTAAACATTAATGTGAAAGTCAGTAACAAATCACACAAACTAACGTAGATTGCAGAAATATAAAAACACATCTGTTGCTTTAGCACACTACTTTAGATATTCACAGTCACTGTAATAAACATGTACACATGTGCACTGCACTAAACACTGTCTGTTAACTTAAGACCAGTGGTCCTCAAACTTTTGTGGTCGCGCCCCCCTCAGACTACCAAATAATTTCACTAAACATTATGAAAAATGTATACTTTTTTTAATTTAAAAAACCTACAGGGAAAAAAACACCTGCATCACTTGAAACATTGAAAGATAGCATAGAGAGAATAACTGTTGTTATTATTATTATTCTCTCTGTTATTTATTTATTTTTTGTGGGTTTCATGCTGTCCGCTAAGGCATAGGACACACACAGGCTTTCCTCACTAATGACATTAAACACGTGTCTACACCGGACGCGAGCGGCAACATACAGTAGAACCCATTATAATCAGTGATGCTGTGTATACTGGATGCGGCGCGACATTAAACTGATGCCTCGTTCTATTTATGACGTACTGACACAAAGTTCAAATGATTTGCAACGGTTGCTTTGTCGCGTCAGTGTAGAGCTGTAGCGGCGCGATGCACAACTGTAGCGTGCGGTATAGACACGGCGAGTGAAGCCGAGAGCGAGATATGCCTCCTCATAGTTTCTGCATTTAGCTTTTAAATGACCAGCAGCTGCCTGGATCTGTGCGACTTCACCTATAGCTTTTCTCTTCGCTTTCACAAACCGATTCATCTCCCATTCTGAGTTACATCCTTTGGCTGTTTACTGATTTATTTATTTTCTTTTTCTGCTGATGGCCCGCGCTCGACTTGAAGCAGCGCTGCTCAGACCGATGGGTGTGTGTCATTAAAGTACTGCGAGAGCTATAAGAGAGCGCGGACGTCTCCTTGTGCTTTCTCTCGCTCGCCGTACTTTGATGTCATACACCGATCGATCTTCAAGTGGAACACACCTCTTTACTCTCGCGTGTCACGTGACCGAATGAAATCGCAGCCTCTGCGATTGAAAAATCGAACATTTTCATATCGCGATATTATCGCAAATGCAATTAATCGTTCAGTCCTAATCTGTGGTGTGTTCAGGTGTGAGCATCACTCACTTCTCCAGCGGCAGAACATGCGGTCCAGAGATGGAGTATCTGTAGATGAAGGTGAGGAACTTCTGGAAGACGCTGAAGAAGGGCCAGTGTGAGAGAACGCAGATGCTCTTCTTGACCTGAACGCTGCGGTTGGTGATGGGCTGCCGGTCCACGACGCTCAGCAGACCCAGACGCACACACTGACGCTCCGACAGAGACTCGCGCAGGTACGCCTCGTAGAACTGGATCGCAGCGCCGTACACCTGACCCCCCGACACACACATATATATATATATACACACACACACACGCAATCATGTGACCAAACCATCAGCCGCAATGCAACGCTGCACTGAGCAAACCTTTGATCAAAAACAGTGTAAAAATTTTGAAATATTATTAGAATCTAAAACAGCTGTTTTCTATGTGAATATCTGTTAAACTGTAATGTATTTCTGTGATGCGCAGCTGTATTTTCAGCATCATTCCTCCAGTCTTCAGTGTCACATGATCTTCAGAAATCAGTATAATATGCTGATCTGCTGCTCGAGAAACATTTCTGATTATTATCAATGTTGAAAACAGTTGTGCTGCACAATATTTTTGTGGAAACTGGGATACATTTTATTTTTCATGATGCTTTGATTGAAAAGAACAGCATTTATTTGAAATATAAATCTTTTGTAACATTATAAAAGTCTTTACTATCACTTTTTCTTGGCAACACTTTCTATGAAGCCCATATTTGTAATGCATTATAAAGGTATTCTTAAGGCATTATAATGAATGCATAATGCTGTATCATCTCATGAATATTCATAAGAACAGTTTTAATATATTATAATATTTACTTATTTGTGGTTATAGCTTTTAAGAGTATGATGATTTATAACACAATGAACACGTTGCATCCACTTTTACAATGGATTATATTTCTCATAGTTATAATGTATTATAAGTCTCATATCTTGACATTTTTCTTATGCTACTTTACTTAAAGCGGTCAAAGACCACTTATAAGTAGTAATAATAATAATAATAA